AAAAAAAAAATTCTTAGCACTACCAGAAAAATGAATTGTTTTATTCTGTTTTACAGCTTTGTTTAAACAACATACTCAGCTTCCTGATGAAAAAGCAATTACGAAAGAACTGAATTACACTGACCTGGAGTGTACAAAACAGCATTTACTCTCAAAAGGTAAAACTTAATGTGCCTAAAATCAGCATTTCCAACACGATTCTCAGGTAGCTCCGTCAGCAATGAGCACTATGGATACATGACTTCATACCACACACTCTGTACCAGATGCCTGTGGAGTCATTTTTATAAGTCTCCAATCAGACATAATTGGGATGTGTGCCCCCTAGTGTCAACAAAGAAGAATTTCAAGGAGGAGAAGCAATACTAGGCTGAGCAGAATTTTAATAGAAACAGAAAGGAGCTCCAGAAAAAATAAAGGAAATCTAATGGCGTGAATGTGAGTGTCTCCACGGAGTCATGCTCAGTAGTGTGTGTTTAAGATTTCATTTTTAATTAATATACGTATACATTCATGTGCCTGTGTGTGGATTGGTGTATGTGAGTGCAGTGCCTGCAGAGGCAGAGGAGGGGGTCAGATCCTGGAGCTGGAGTTAGATGTGGTTGTGAGTCACAGGCTCTGGGTGCTGGGAACTGAACTCCAGTCCTCTGTGAGAGCGGTACACACTCTTAACCACTTAGGCATTTCTGAAGTCCCTGAAGTGTTTTCACAAGTGTGTGTGTGTGTGTGTGTGTGTGTGTGTGTGTGTGTGTGAGAGAGAGAGAGAGAGAGAGAGAGAGATGATCTTGTTGCATTCTCAATTACAGTGTCTACAAAGTGTAATTTACTCAAGATTTGAATAGAGAATTTGTTTTTCTAGTAAACTAACTGGAAGGTGGACTGATGAACATGTATTACTTAGATTTAGGAAAGAAAGGGAAGTACTTAACGCTATCCATCACTTTGGCCCTGAGTAAGCAAATATTCTCGACTGTCTTTGATATCTGTAACTGAGATGTCTTTGGAATACACCGTTTGGCCCTAAATAGGCAATTTGTTTACTGTCTTTGTCAACAGACTTTTTGGGAAACATGTGTTTTCCTAGACCATTTGAGCTTGTCTGGGGTTCCTGCCTTTCTCAGCAGATCTCTCTCTCTTCACTCACTGGATCCTTTGCTGTGAAGAAGCCTGCAATTCCATTCAGGGAGTCTTTGCTTATTCCTACATCTTGATCTGTGTCGTTATTTTTTTCCTGTAACAATTTCAGGGTCCCAGGCCTCACAGTAAGGTGTTTAATCTATTTAGAGTCTATTTTGAAGTCAATTTTTACACAGAATGGCTATGGATCTAGCTTCATTCTTCTGCACATCGGTACCTAGTTTTCACAGCACAGTTTGTTGAAGAGCTTAACTTCCTCAGATATGTATTTCTAGTGAAAAGTCCTGTGGCTGTAGCTGTGTGTGTTCATGTTTGTGGTTCTCTTTTGTGTTTATTGATTAATGTGTCTCCTTTTGTTGTGGGACCATGCTCTATAGTGTAGCCTGAAGTCAGGTCTGGTGATACCTCCAACATCATTCTTTTTCCTTCAGGATTGCTCTGGCTATCCAGCGTTTTTTTGTACTTCTATATGATTTTAGAGATTGTTTTGTTCATCTATCTCATGAAAGGTCTTGGAATTTCAACGGGGACTTCATTCATCTGTACACATTTAGGGTTTTAACGTGAGACTTTATTTTTCTGTTTCATTTTCGTTTTTCTGCCCTTGAGGGTTCTCTGATATTTCTGTTGCTTTCAGGATACAATTAACACCCTGGAATACTTCAAATATATTTTCAGATAAAAAATTTCATTCATCTCTTTACATCTTTTTTTGTTTATGATTTACATATTTTTAAAACGTTTCAAAATGTTTTTGTTTTCTTCTTGTAACATCAATCATGGGCATTTTAAATTTTTTAGATAAACCTATAGTTTTGTTATCTTGCTTGTTATAATATATTGATTACCACTTTCATCATCACTAATTAAAAATATCTGTCTGCTAACTCTGAAATTTTGGTGCCTTGGTTAATGGGATCTATTGTTTTCATGTATAAATATGTGTATATTTATGTAATATGAAAGCTTTCTGGTTCTTGATATGATGAGTTCTATTCTTTGAAGACCCAGATTGTTTGGCATTATGTCCTCAGGGTCTGAGTATCCTTACACTCTGTTTTCCTGACAGCACCCCAGTAGGACAATGGGGCCATGAAATTGGTATTCATAGATTTAGGCTTGGGTTGCCAGGCATCTGCCTGGGAGTAGGGGATCCTTGTTGTATCTGAAGAAGGCTGGAGCCCCAGGTTGTTGTTGTCTCCACATCAAGCAGCTTTTAAAATGACTCTTTGACATTGCACTTACATTTCCTTCTTCCGCCAAAGACAAAGTCTGGAGCTGTTGCCCAAAGGACTGGAAGCCATTTAGATTCCACTGCTACTTCACTTCGAATGACTCAGCATCTTGGAGTGAGAGTGAGGAGAAGTGCTCCAGCATGGGTGCTCATCTGATGGTGATCCACAACCAGGAAGAGCAGGTGCATCCTGGGAGATAGTGGGGCCTGGGCCTGGCCTGCTGTCTGCCTCTTTTTATTAGGAGGGAGTTTTGTTGACTTGGGTGTTGCTGATGTGGCAGAAGGTTTTCCATTAGGAAGCCAGAAAGGATGCTTCAGCCTTGGCATTCTACACCTTGCCCAGGCTTCAGTGAAGCTGAACAACCCTCAAGGAACCATGGCAACAGAAATGCAACCTCTGAGGTGGAGGGAAGGATGAAATGTTTCTGTTTGAAAGAGCAGTTTGTGATTTCAGCACTCTAATGCTTCCTGTAGTACCCACTGCCTAACAAAGGAGGGAGCAGAGCTGACTAGGGAAAGGGGATCAAATCAGGAGAGTCACAGCCAACCATCAGAAATGAAATATCTGAGGTTATGAATGGAGAATGGTTTAATTTGCTAAATTCTCTCATGCACAACTTTCAAGAATGGTGCTGCAGAAGAAAAGACAGGAGTGATTCTGAGATGAGAATTCATTATGATCATAGACAGAGATTGTTTCCAGTGTCATGGAAATCAGGCCTCTGAGTGATGACTTTGTGTCCTGGTCAGTCAGAGAAGATGGCACTCCTGGGGGTGGGGGTGGCTCTTCTATTCCTTGTTTGTTTCTTTGTCTTCTCATCTGTGTGTGACCAGAAGAAAGTCAGTCAAAGTATCACAGTGTACCTCTAAAATGTATAGTTAATGAGTAATAGTCTATAATTTGAAAACTGTTGTTGGACCTGGAGAGATGAATAGGATTTGATTATTATATATTTCCATATGTGCATCATATTCAACCTATAATTTTGTATAGTTAAAATAACTTTTAAAAGATCTAATGAAAATTCTAAAATTGAAAAGGAATCACTGCATCCAGGCTGAATGCTGTATCTTTCTTTCCTCTTAGGATTTCATCACCAAGATCCTGGATCCTAAAGTTGTTTATTATATTGGGCTTTCGGTTCAAGGTCCAGGTCATCGACAGTGGCGATGGATTGATCAGACACCATACAATGAAAGTGCCACGTGAGTCCAGAGTTACCTAGAGGAGTCCTGGGTCCTGTAGCAGGAGAAGACTTTCGGGTGTTACAGCTGTTGGTTATGAAACTAAAACAGCTCACTCCTGGTGTGAGTGCTGGGTATGGAGTTACTTTATCCCCATTTCCTCATCAAGGAGTCCTGTGAGACACATGTCACTGATACTCTAGGAGAGATGAGGAAATTGGGTTTGAAGAGTATAGGATGATAAGTATCCAGGGCACCCAACCAAGGTGCTACACCATGGTGGGTTTCATTATGCTTTCAGTCTCTATCTATATTTAATAATAGGATTTAATTTATTTTTATTTGTGTGTATATCTGTGTCTCTCTTGAGGGTGTGCCATGTGTATGTGTTGCCCATGGAGCCCAGGAGAGGTTGTTGGATTCTCCAGAGCTGAGGTCACAGGTGGTGTTACTGTGTCAGTATGTGTGCTGGGAACAGAACTCGCATGCTTCCTGCAAAAGCACAAGCAATTTTAATTCCTGAGTTATCTCCCCAGCTTTTTATAGCATTATAATAAAATTAATGTCAAGATCATAACTGATTATTTCTCATAAATCAAAAGCCCGCATTCTGATATTGTTATGTGTTGTATTAATATAATTATTTAAAAACTCCAATGTCACAGTTTGTTCCCATATTCTATCCTTATTTCTGTTGTGAGATATAGGTAGTAAAGTTATTCTCATTCTCAGTCTTGAGAGAAGAAAAGTAGGAATCGGGGATGTTAAATTACTTGTCCTAGATATTAGAAATAAGTAGATTATCTAGATATTTTAAACATCTTTTCAGTCTCTAAAATAACTATTGTAAAATTAAAGAAATAAAACCCTGTATTAAAACACAAGAATAAGGAGAGACCTGTTCTTCATGTAAGGAAGCACATGGAATGAGAGTCCCTGGGTACCAAGACCTAGGGATGAAGTAGACTAAAGCAGCCTCTGGGATGTATTCTGGGAGAACAGTTAAGTAACAAGCTAAGAGAATATTGATTGAGGTGGCCCTGTTTTCCAAGGACATGTCAGACATGGGTGGTGGAAACGGTTGATTTGTACACACCTGAATCTGATTTCCACAAATTCCCACCGCATCCTCTTCTTGCTTACTCTTGTGTTCTCTTTCCCAGCATCACTGTGGGAAATACCCTGATGCCCTTTTCTCCCTTTCAGGTTCTGGCACCCAGGACAACCCAACAATAAGAATGACAATGAAGAATGTGTTGTAATACATCATCCTTCTTCTAGTTGGGGCTGGAATGACATCTCTTGCAGTTGTGTACGGAAGTCAGTTTGTCAGATGAAGAAAATATATTTATGAATCAAGCTTTTTCTGTGAACATGGATTGCATTTTTATCCAGCATTACATAGATACCTGCAAAGATCTTCTTGTGGAAGAGATGACCATAGAAATTTAGGCAGGCATCAACAGTTATCCATATGATAATGCTGGTGCCCATATACTTATTTATTCATCCTTAGCTCTTTATATAATGAGATTTCCCATGTGCGAGAGACTCAAGACTCTACAGGATCCCTTTGTGTATATGTAGAAGCACACTAGCTTCTCTGTCCATTCTTAGATTCCTAAATTCTTATTTGATGGTAGAATTGTATGTTGTGGACCCTCCACTAACTTCTCTCTCCTTAGTCCTCTCTCTTTATATTAATGATATATAATTGAAAAATAAATTATATATATTTACATTGCACTTTGTTGACTTGATATGGAAATGTATTATACAATGGCTACCACAATCAGGTTAACAACACCCTCTATTACCTAACATAGTTGTCTGTTTTGTGTGTGTGTGGTGTTAGAACATTTAAATCTTCTTAAGAAAATTCGGACAGACAGGGTGACATTGTTACCTATTGTCACTTTGATCCTCAGTGCTTATTCACATTTTCTCTGGCAGTTTGTGCCCTTCCATCAGCATTTTCTCATGTCCCCCAATACCTGCACTACCAGGAACCATTCAGGAACTTGGTCCCCATGGCTAGTGTGTCAGGTGCTGTGGGTGCCGTGAGACTGATGTGGGCCTCTAATGGTGGCTGATCCTGGACTGGGTGACCTTCCTAAGAACAAGTCTAAGAAGATGACAGCCAACCTTCTACTGGCACCGCCTGTTGTTCTTGGTGTCCCACCCTGTGCTGCCACATTAGGGACAGCCTGTGTCCTGTGGATGGACATTGAGGAGAGCCACATGTCCCATGGAGCCTGCATGCTGCTTAACACTTTGGAGGCCCTTTCAACTTCTTCCTAAGAGTATTTTGAAACTACAGTTTATTGGATGGTATCATCAATTGTTGACAATTTGATAACTATATATATAACTATCTATATAACTATCTATATCTATATCTATATATCTATATCTATATCTATAGTTTGTGTGTGCATATATATGTACATGCTACTTGATAGGGCCCTGAGAGTTAGTTTGATACATAACATTTCAGGCAATATTTGAATATATATCATCTGAAATATTCAGTGCACAAGAAAACAATACCACTATAACTCTTAGAAAATTTAACAACTCTTTTCTGATATGGTACGTGATATTGCTTGTATTTCCTCAGCCATCCCCAAAATGTTTCTTATGGCTGTACTGGTTATCCATAGCCAAAAATATTTGATTTACTAATTAAATTATTCTACAAATTCAGGCCATGCCTCCACATGACTGTCCTCATTTCAGACTTGAGCTTCAAGTTCAGGAGGTCCCAAGGATGTCATTACTTCAAGTCAATTGTCTGCAGAGTCCCAGGATCCCATAACTCTAAATTTATGAGCTGCTTGGATGACACACTGAACTAATGATTCTGCCCTATAGAATTATAGTTTTTTATGTAGAAAGATACACGTGCACTCCTCACTCTTCACAGGTGCAGTCCTCACTCTACACAGGTGCAAAGCAGAACTAAAGTGAGGGACATATCAGGTGAGGTCAGGGAGGGACCCATAAAGGGGAACTTCCATGGACCCCATGGATGCATCTCCTTCCCAGAATGTTAATGAGTGTCAGTATACAGAATAGGCCAACCAGGGGGCACTCATCTGAGTTCTGATGTTCAGAGATTTGTCAGGGTTCATTATATAGGTGTGAGTGTTTGGTTGATAAGAGAGTGAACTCAGTCTTCAGCATCAATTCCCTGCCAGGGTGAGCATCTCATGGCTCAAAGGCTTCACACTTTAATCTCATGATCAGTGTTTCTGAAATAGTGAGCTCCCACCATGAATCATCTTGTTAGCATGAGCTATGAAAGAACTAAGCAGCATAAGGATTCATGGCCTACCATGGTAAAATAGATTTCTCAATAGCTTCAGGAATTCCAAAGAACTAAAGAGGTTACCTCCCATGACTGGGTTAGAAGTTCAGAGAAAGTCTTTCTTTGAATGGTCAGGTGTAAAATGATATGACTGCAGATGTAGGTGAACAGGAGAATGTGCCACCATCACCGTCCCAGGCACTCCCACACTGCTTCCTGACAGACCCCATGATGTACATGACAGACACCCAACACTAAACCCATATGACACTAATTTAGTTCAATACCAGAGATAAGTAAAGCACAAGTTTGACAATTTTATTTATTTATGTGAAGTGCTTTATCTACATGTATGACTTCCTGCCACAACAGGGCATCAGATCCCACAAGAGATGGCTGTGAGCCACTATGTGGTTCCTGGGAATTGAACTCAGGAACTTTGGATGAGCAGCCAGTGTTCTTAACCACTGAGACATCTCTCCAGCAATTTTGAATATTTCATGCTTGTGTTGCAATATTATCTCTTTTTACTGATGGGACTAATGGTCCATTTTGAAACCCAAAACAAAACATCTCCTGAGCAAACAGGAAAGGGGTTAGGTATAGATCCTATGCTGGTCCCAGCGCTTTCAAACTCCTCTATAAAAGGGCTGTTTCAACACCTTTGATTCATCTTCCTTTATATAGAGCATGCTTTCATCCACAATTGCCTGGTGTGTCCAGCTGAATTTCATTGGCCCATAAAATGAGAATGAATCTGATTCTCTAAATATGGGCATCTACTACACATTCAGTTTACAAGAAGGTGCTATACTCTATGATCCTGGCTCCCAAATAATAAATGTGGAAAGAAGCTTAACAGAATTACAGTGACCCGTAGACAGAATCTTAGGACATGCACAAATGCCAAATATTTGTTGTTGGAAGTCACTTAAATAGTGTGTATGACTTATTTTAGTGTATGTGGGATATGATAACTTTAGAAATATATTTTGGTGAGAAGGTGCAACCCTGAGCATCTGTGAGTGGAGTGAAGTGGTATGTATGCATTTTTATCACTATGGAATTAGTCAATAGTTTAATAATTACACAGGACTTTATATTTTGTCGTATCCAGTTTATTTCCTTGCAGCACCTCAGTTACTTAGTAACTTACTGAATAAAGAATGGTGTAGGGAGGGCAAGGCAGGTGTCTGTGGAAGGGTCAGTTATGGGGCAGCAATGGTCTTATCCAGGGTCTGGGTGACCATTCTGAGGGCTGGTATGACAGCAGAACTGGAGCCCAAGCAGTGAGGGGAATGTCAGCATGCTGGTGAGAAAGTGTATGGATTCAGGAGAGTCTCCATGGAGCAGTCTGGTGTGAGACGTCAGAGTCTGAGAGGTGAGGAGGGCAGCTATGCTGTGGAATGGTCACTTGTAGGGAGTCTGTGCTCCAGCATGGCGAGGAGAGGATGAACTCATTAGGTCACTTCCTGTGGGGGGGTCAGACCTGCAAATAGGTGAGGAAAGGATCCTGATTGAGGAACTGGGAATTTGGACGGATGAGGAGGGCACCTGTGTAGAGTGAGGAGTGCACCTGTGTATAGTGAGGAGTGCACCTGTGCAGAGTGAGGAGTGCACCTGTGTATAGTGAGGAGTGCACCTGTGTATAGTGAGGAGGGCACCTGTGTATAGTGAGGAGTGCACCTGTGTAGAGTG